AGGTTAAAATATCCCACTCCTATTATTTTGTGGACAACTGTATGTGTTATACACACAATAAAAGCGACAAGAGTAGACAAAAACTCACACATTAATTCCCAATCATGTGTCATTTGTTGGTAAATAGTAATATCATTTAATTTCGACTAATGAATAAAGCAGTTGGCGCTTGTCAAATATTAGTTTTGTTCGATAACAAAATTAACCAACACCAGCCAACAATCGAAATTAAGAGCGTAAGCGAAAATTCTCTCCCAAAGAGAAAAAAAGCAAAAAAGTAAACAAACAGAAAATTAGCCATTACTTGCGAAAACAGGAAGATGAAGACAAACCAGCTGATTTTATTTATTTTTTATTTGTAAAAAACTGAAATTCATGCTAAAAATTAACGCTTGCTCTCTCTATTTTTGAGTGATGGATAATTTTTTGTCGTTATCGAACGCCAACTTGTAAAAATTAGGAAAAACTATTAAAAATTTGTGTGTTGTCGAACGCAACTATCAACTCACATGAGACAATTATGATGGAAAATATTTATTAGCTGATGGCACAAAATATTTCAGTTAGTATGAGCGTTACTTTCCCAAAAAACAAGCAGAAGAGAGCAAAATACATACATATGTAACATTTTTGTATTTTATATTGACTTTTTTAAATTCAATTGAATAAAAACAAACCGAATATTTCTTATATATGCATGTAAATATGTATATGCATGTGTTTCAGTTTTTCACTTAAACGACACAGCCCGCAGATGCTTTTCTGTCAACCGCAGCCTAATACGCGCCCCAAATATTAGCCTCTCTAAGCTGTCCAGCATTTCAATAAAGTATCTCGACCCAACCAACTCGAGGCCAGTTTTTTTATACAATATATATTTATGTACATATGTACTTTTATTTATTTATTTATTCTTCTATGAAACGGTGGTTTTTTACTTTCTAGTTACAAAATAAATATATGCAGGATACTAAAACTATTGATTAAACTAGATACAAGAATCAAAAGAAAGAATACAAAAGATTAATAAATAAATTTCTTGAGTAAGAGAAATCAAGTAAGATAGAGTTCGCGATCAAATTAAACTCATTTGAGGCACGTACCAAAGGGGCGCGTATTCAGTTCTATGGTTTTCATAATAGAACGGCGAAATGTTACGCAAGACTCGCTGAGTGATGTTGAAATTTATGCGAACTAAGAGAAAAGGACAATCAACACTACCATTAATAATATTAAAAACAAAAGTCTGGGAGAGTACAGCATGCCTCGTTTCCAAAGAAAGGTTAATTAAAAGCAAACGACTACTGTACGGTGGTATAGGATCCGAAAAGTTTAAGGACCGCAATGCGAACTTAAGAAAAACCTTTTGGACACGTTCTAATCTATTTATGAAAGTTTTGTGGAATGGCCTCCAAATAAATGTATCATATTCCAAAATGGGACGAACAAAAGATGAGTATAGTAATTTAGGAGTATAGGGATCAGAGAATTTTACACAGTTCGGCCTCACGAAACACAAAAAAGAGAAGGATTTAGCAATCACAAGATTAATATGACTACTAAAAGAAATATTTGAAGTAAAAATGATGCCAAGATCTTTGGCCTCGGCGACAGATTCTAGCGAAGACTCCGCGATTGTATAATTCGTTGATAAAGCACTATGAATTTTTGCAAAAGTTACTTTAAAGCACTTTTTAATATTTAAAGAAAGCCGAGATTTTATGCACCAAAGATTAAGATTATTAATATCAGGCTTGGGCATAGTAGCATCCTTTTCGTTTTTGACCATCGAAAATACTTTCAAGTCATCGGCATATAGCAAAAAATTAGCGAAAGAAAAACATGAGCTAATATCATTTAGGAATAATATAAAAAGTAAAGGACATAAAATACTTTCCTTTTCCAAAACTATTTCTTATAAAACGGCGCAAATATGTTCAAATCTGATAAATAAAAACGAATATATTCACTCTATCCTCGAAAAATCGGGCTCAGGCGCCATTGACCGTGTGATGTTTTATTTTTTGCAAATACAGCGAAATTCCTCGTTACGTACAGTCCTTATAAGCGGATAACTTCAATAGCCGGACAAAATTCGTGCACACAGACTTTTCATTAATTTTCCCATACAAATATCATCCTAATAACCGGGCACTCTAATAACCGGCCGCGGACACTATATTTCAAACTATTTTGATCCAAAAATTTCTCATAAACGGGCAAAATTCAAAAAAATCTGGAGCAAATTTTTGCAGTAGTTTTGCTAAAAAGTAAATTGGTGATGAATACACACGTCCACATCGTACTTGTCAAATAGATGGTGGTTTTTTTTGGTACAGTTTGTTAAATAAGTTGCATGTGAATTGTACATCGTACGATGAGCCGTTAAAACTTATTGCGCTTTTGAAACAAAAAGAAAAAAAAAATGCCTTTGAGGTTTTTAGGTTAGATGGTCAGGGATGGTATTTTTAGGCCTTGCAGCCCAAAGTTCAAGCCTTAATTTAAGCCTAGGTGGAAAGTTCTATCACCTGCTGTTTGATTGCGGTAGGTACTCAAACTTCGCCAAAATCAGTTTTTGCTGTTCAATAAATGTCTACTGGTGATCATCAAAGGAAGATGCAGGAATGATTTTTGACACTTTCACCTCGTTTTTCTCTAAACCTGGATCTGATGGAAACTACGCTTATGGAATCGTAATCAGCTGTAAAAAGTTTCAAAAACTGCTACACAAAACTTTGTTCCCATTTTTGTTGGCCTCTATTATTTTTCGAACATTTTTTTGATGAAGTAATTAGTTGGCTAGTCATATTTTTTATACCAAGCGCTTACAAATCATGCCAGGTACCATTTTATTACTCAAATATATATATTTTTAATTTTGGCCAGCTTTTAAAGGCATATACCCCTTAAAGAAAATTGCGGTCACGAATTCTCAAAACACTTTCTTTTATACCAATTTACCACAATGTCAAATGGAAACAATTTACAACCAGCCTCAGTGCGTAGGTCGAAAATTAGGCTAAATTTTACGACTCGATAACATTCAGCCTCATTGCGTAAGTCGTAAATTAGGTTAAATTGTGCGACTCGACAACAGCAGCATTGTCTATTGTCGTACTGAAATAAGTAAACGACCAAAAGCGTCGAAAACTATACAGTGCTGCCAAGGTTTTCCGTTTTAATACACTAGTCGAGTGGAAATTTTAGGCAATGACGTGAAATTTTCGTTACGATTCGACTCTCAAAAAACGACTTGCATTCGACACGACTCTGACAATGAGGGTCATTGGCATTGTCTACGTGCATAAATAAGTAAACGACGAAAATCGTCGAAAGCTATCTCGTGTGACGGTAATTGCAGAAATACAAAAACTTCGATATTTTCGTAACTACTGGAACATAATGTTCGATAAATTTTTTATATGGAGAAAGTTTGCGATACCCACAACAAAAAAAAGAAATTGCCAAAAATCATGTTCGATAATTTTTGTGTATGGAGATAATTTGCGATACTACAACAAAAAAATTTGCCAAAAATCAGTGGTAAGTTCTACCTACCTCAGACTTGCGCTTTACTATATTAAAATTGAATGGGCTAAAAAACTGCATACTGAACTTTTTTCTAAAGGTTGTAATTAAAAACTACTCTTAAAGAAAATTTGCTGTAGAAATGTAACGATATTTTAAAGATTTTTGAGATGGAGGATTCAGGACATATAGTCTCGTTGGATAAAAGAATTGACCTTTAAGATGACCTTCAAATCTAGAAGGTTAAAATTTGTCTTCTTTTTTGTTCTTAAACTAGTTTGCAATGAACTGTTTAAAAGTTTGAAACAAATATTTTTGCTGTTTCTGCATCAAGGAGTCCACGAACTTAGATTTATTTACTTGTTATATACTACATATCGTCGTTTAAAGTATAACACCGCGTATCGTTATTCTGCAAACCGTGTAACTGACATTTGCTGCCAAAAATTGAATTTGCTCACACAAGCTCTTGGCTCAATCCTTATCCATTCATCCTGAAATATGCTAGCCAGAAATGCGATTGCTTTATAAAAAAACAGAACCATTTTGAAATATGAGTGTTTTTACTCTCTAGAAAATAATTTATGCAACCTCACATACGCGGTTGTGCATTTTTTTCATACGCGATTTTGCAATTTAAACACCGATATATAAACATAAAGATGTGGACAACTAAATCGAGCCAAGATGCGGTTATGTGTATTTTCCGAATTTTAATTATTAGTATTTTCTAATTTAAATAAACTTATTATCTTATAATTTCATTGAATATCTTACAAATGAACAGAACATTATTATAGCAGGAAAAGATTCATTACCTAAGAGAAAATAACACGTGAAGGAAAATATGAAAGCAAATGTTGGCTCTATTTAGTTGTCCACCTCTGTAGATATTTGTATGTTTTGCATTATGAGTGATCATTTTCTATGATATCCCTTCAGTTGACAACGATGAAGATCGACTGCTCGTCATCTATAATGGCGGCATTGAGATGTGTTTTGAGGCACTGCATACGTTACATTCCATGCATCACGAAGCAACAGCTTGTCACGTGTCTGGCGACCTGCAGGAACTACTTAGCGAATTGGTATTACTACTTACCACGCTGCGTATGAGTACGCGCTTGGACGCGCCAACGGCTGCAGCTAGTGTCAGTAAAAAACAATTGCAGCAGCAGCAGCAACAACAACAGCGTCTTCCCGATGCTGTTAAGCGACTGGCCACTTTCCTTAACACATTCAATCCACCGGAAATCTGTCGCCTATCACTCGAAGTACTCAAAGAGTTGGTGCGCAACCCAAGTTTAGATGTGACTAGTATTCTGGCACCCATACTCATTAATTGCCATCTATCAGTGGCTAATGCGCCGAGTAATATTGGACCCTTGGGACCTTATTTTCCACGACGTGGCACAAAAGCGCCCTGGCCAACTATGTCAAAGAATACGCCGCGTCCACCGCGCCCGATGGTGCAAATGAGTATACCACATGGGGAAATTTTGCAGAAAGGTGTTGATATTGAATATGACGCACAAGTGGAGGCTTTCTATCGACCTTACCATGACTTCTTAGACGTAATGATGCGTATGGCGGTGAACACCAATCAATTGAATGAGACATTGGTTAAGTTGAGTTGCTTAGTGGCAATCGAGGCAGCACCTTTACATTTGAATTTGTTTGCCAAATTTTGGGTGGGCATTCACAATAACAAAAGCACAAATAAGTAATAACACGCGTTAAATTTAGCGGTTTCAGATTGTTAATACCACTCTTATTCTTTATTTGTAGATATGCTGAATTGTTGATCAACAACCAGTACCTGGTGGAATACATACATGTAATATTGCGGGACGAAAGGGTCTCTCTCAGTGATCATTACATAAGAAATTTCTTAGAAATCTATTACCCCAAGGTAAGTGCTTAATATGCTTCGTTATGATTCAGGTTTTAATGTATTTTAATTGAATTATGGGGCATATACAACGTTTTTGTATGTTTGTATTATTGATGTTTCGAATGTCATATTTTTCACATTCGCGAATGGGAATGCGAAAGCGAATTTTCGGAATGCGAATGTGCGAATGCGAATGTTAAGGAGTAACTGTATAAAGCTATAATCAACTTAATTGATCCTTTTTATTACTTAAAAATTTAATAAATTATTAGAACATTGAACGAGTGCTTATCCTATACAGAGTTTTAATTTAGTAGTCAAAGTTCAAAAGAGGCATATTATATTTCAAAAAAAGTAATTTTACTGCCTTTTCTCCCATGAGGCGATTTCTTAGAGGCTCGTATATAAGACCGGCTGCACTGACCAATTGCTCACTTGGAACGCTGACGGGTGGAGCGCTCAAATATTTGCGGGCTAAATCTGTCAATTTGTCGTATTATATCTTGTTTTCCACCAATCGAGAGCATTTTCACCAAGATGAGCTCGGTTTTCTTTAAGCCTTAAGGGCTTCAATTGAGCTTTAATTTCACATATTTTAATGTCTCCAGATTCTCTCCGAGCCTTCGCTTTCGCTGGAAGAATCTATAATTATTTCTAGGTTGCTTATAAGACTTTTAGCAGTACTTGTTGAAGGCTCATCAATGTTGCTTGATACACTACTTAACCGTTTAGCGCCTGAAGCTAAAAGCCAGTTATTGTCCGCACCCTAGTTAGACAGACTTATAGTCTATTTCCACCAGAGGCTTAATTTCAGTTAAGAACTCAGATAAGTTCCAAGAATTTCAATAAGGGGTGAGCGGCAGGGTTTAGATTAGATTAGATTAGATTAGACTTAGAGGAGGGAGCAGGTCACCTAGTTACCGCGACCGAAACGATCTATTGTAACAAATCTCTATTCAACTACAGGTCATCTTTGATCCACGTACTGTTAAGAAACCTCGCGAGGTCCTTTGGCTGAATGCCATTTAGGTCGTGTGCTTCTAGGTACGGTGATCCTAGGAAGCGAAGTTTGGTCCTGGTAAGGGCTTCACAGTTGGACATAATGTGCTCTGCTGTTTCCTGTTCTTCGTTACACAACCTGCACTGGTCAGAGTTGACAACGTCTATATTTGACAAGTGTGTTTGACACAGTGGCCAGTAAGAAAGCCTGTAACGATTCTTACTTCATGCCTACTGAGGTGAAGGAGTTATTCGGTTCTCCTTGTTGATATAACCGGAATGAAGAACTTGGCCTATCTGTTACCTTCCGTATTGGTCCAGTAATGTTGTGCTTCGTTCTTCATCCAGATATAGTAGTTCCGTATAACGGTGCTCCATGGCAGACCGGTAAAGGGGTCCTGGGCCTATGAATCCCTGTGCAGCCCCTTTCCTGGCGAAAATATCTGCCACTTCATTGCCCATGACTCCACTGTGTCCCGGTACCCATATGAGGTATACCCGGTTCCTTGAGGCGATCAATATTAAAAGTTTAAGACAATCCCACACCAGCTTTGAGGTGACCTCGTGCGCTTTCAGAGCGAGGAGCGCCGCTCTGCTGTCCGAGTGAATATAGATGTATTTTTTGGTTGCCCCACTTTCTACATACTGCCTAAGACAAAGTTCAATGGCGTGAACCTCGGCCTGAAAGACAGAGTTACCCTGCCCCATGCTGGTGAAAAGGAGCAGTCTGGGTTGTATACCGTAGACTCCTGCTTTGACGCCGTGGTCAGTCTTTGAGCCGTCAGTATACCAGATGTGGCTGTCCTTCCGGGGTTTAGGTCATTCATTGTCTCAGTTATTCCTGTCAGGGAAAAAGACCTTGAAGTTATGTGAGAAGTTAAATCTCGGTAGGCACAGGTCCACAAAACTTATGCGCAATCCATCTTTTTGTTCTATAACCTTGAGAGTGGAAGGGTGTACATACTTCTTGTCCTCTACACTGTGCCCTGAGATGAGCCTTGCTGTAAACGGCAGAGCCTCTTTCTTGATTACTATGTGTAGGGGAGGCAGGTCAAGAAGCACCTCTAGAGCCGCCGTTGGTGTTGTTCTCATCGCGCCAGTGATACCCACGCAGGCCAGTCTCTGTAGTCTGCTGAGCTTGGCCTGCGTGGAATTCACTTCCATCTTCTTCCACCAGACGGGTGCAGCATAGGTAAGAATGGGTTTGGAGACGGCATCATACATCCACCTCGCCAGTTTAGGTCTGATGCCCCAGTTCCGTCCCATAAGTTTCCGGCAGGTGCAGATAGAGGCCCTGGTCTTTTGAATAGTTTTATCTAGATGTGGTTTCCATGAGAGCTTGTCATCAAGGATGACTCCTAGAGTATCTTTTCACCTCGAAGGAATGGTTCTACTAATTTGTCCCTTTTCCTTTTCCTGGAGAAAATGACTATGCTAGTCTTCTTTGGGTTAACGTTTAACCAATTTTTACTACACCAATTGGCGACTATGTTCAGAGCATTCTGTAGGAGGTTAGAGATGGTATCATCGAACCTACCCCTGATTAGGATGACAATGTCATCCGCATAGCCCTGAACGTCGAAGCCTTTTTCGCTAAGAAGGCAGAGTAGTTCATCCACTACGATGGACCATAGCAGAGGGGAGATCACTCCCCCCTGCGGGCAACCTTTCGTAGCTAAGAAACTGACCCTTTCCTGTCCTAGCGTGGATGTAATAATTCTGGACTTAAGGACGTTAGCTATCCAGCGACATGTGGTTTGATCAACCCCTCTGCGCCGGACGCATTTCTCTATTAGAGAGTGTTCTGTGTTGTCGAAAGCGCCCTCCACATCCAAGAAACAACCCACCGCCACCTCTTTGTCCTCCAGGGACTTTTCAATTTTCCTTGTTAGATTCTGAAGAGCGTGGATGGTAGATCTTCCTAGAAGATAGGCATATTGGTGTCTGTACAAAGGGTTCCTGGCAAGGAAACTATCCCTGATATGCATGTCTACGATTCTTTCCATTGTTTTTAGTAGGAAGGACGTAAGACTAATGGGTCGGTATGACTTTGGTTGGTCTGCTGGTTTTCCCCCCACCTTTGGGATGTAGCGGACCGTCACTTCCTGCCATTGCAGGGTTTATTTCTTAGTGTTTTTGCTTTTCTCCTTTCGTTTGCTTGTAAATAATTATTAGGAGAAATTACCCCCTTCGAGTTTAATCTCCTTGTTCCAATAGGCATAAACTGCAGCTAAGATTTGGTGGAAATGAACTATTAGAGCCATTTCAACAATATTACGAGTGGACTTTCAGCCCATGTACACATTCGCCTTCGCAAAACATTCGTATCATTCGATGCGAAAGCGAATATGTAAAATGATGCGAATCATTCGCATAACGAACGCGAATGCAAATATTCGCAACATCCCTGGTTTGTATATAGAGATAATCTTAAGTTTTGAAGTGATACAAATGACACGCGGTTAATTTTGGTTTTCGTTGTTTTCTCTGCTTTGTTTACTTTTCGCTCGTTTTCCAGTGAAACAAGATGGCGTAGAACCCGCTCAAAAAATCGACTTTTTCACTCTTTCGTTCTTACGTGATCTTGTTCGTTCGTTCATGGTATGGACTTTGGTGTTAGATGAAAAAAAAAAATGATTTTCATTTTCTGAGTCCTTCTTCAATATATCATCCAATGTACCTCTCAACTGCTTCATTGACTTGATAAAATTGCCGTAGTACTTCACTGTAGAGTCCTACCGATTAATCGGCCAATGTTGAGGCTAGTATAGATCAAAAGAATCGGCATCGTCCGGTTTTGGCCGATTCTTGAATGAGGTTATGCTATTTAGTTATTTGATTATGTTTTTCTTTTGTTATTATAAAATACTTGATTGGGCGTTAGTAAAATGCATGACATTATGACATTGGGAATCACCCAAATGTTTTAGCCTTTTCTTCATATGCCTTGAACGCATTTCTTTTGGACTCTACAAAAGCTTGTAAAGATTTCAAACAATTGAAATTTTTTCGCCAGTGCATAACAGAAGTAGAAGTAACTCCTAATACGAAGAGCATCGTATTTCTTTGAGAGGAAACCAATGGTTTCTGGGTGGCTCTGGGTGGCTCCATCCCCTGGATTTGGAGTTCGAAATGGAATTCAAATGAAGTATCTGTCATGCACAACAGAAATCCATTTCTGGATCGGGTCGGATTTTATGCCAGTTCCAATCCAAAGAATGCAGAGCAACGAGGTGAAGTTCCTGAAACGAATAACGATTGGAAGGGTTCGTCGATCTAAACAGCGTTAGGGTTGGTCGAGAAAAACCAAGTCATTCTAATACTTAGAACCGACTGCCTTATTAAGTATTTTCGACGGTTGATGCTAAATAGTGTAATTTGGCCTGATAGCAGCGCGTTTATTTGTAGGAGGACACGAACAAACGGGGAAAAGTTTGGACTATACCTGTAAAGGATATAAGTCCGCCTTTAATAACTATTTTAATTATTAAAAGATGCAATAACCAAAAATAATATTATTCTTAAACATTAGTATGGATTTTATAAAAATTGTATTCTTAATTAGTGTATTGTTTCCATTCTTCAGATATCCGCCCAGTTGCCAATTGCACGTCTTCTTTACACAATCAGCTATTCCATGCATTCAAAAGAGGATCTCGACGATCTTTGCGGCGATTTGTTTGCCATCCGTGTGATAGCACAATGCACAGGCATACCGACTTCCGTCCGCAAACAGTTGAGGGGATCACTCAAGGCTTTACTTTACAAGAGTTCTCGCTACCAAGAAGTAGCTGAATTGGAGATTACTCAAAACAAGAAAGTGGCTAAAGTAGCGGATTCGCCCACAGCTGAAAAGGAATCAGCAAAACAAGAAGACAACGATGCAAAAGATCCGCCCTTGGACGCCAAGGAAAAAATCGAATCCCCAAAAATGCTTAAAGATGTGAAAGAATCTGCTGAAGATATGTCAATGGAGTTGGATACCGAGTCAGATGGGAAAAAAGATGCCAATAATGGTAAAAACGGAGCAGAGGCTATGGAAACAGATAAATCTCCGTCTAGTGGCAAGAGTGAAGAAAAAAGTGAAGATACAAACAAGAATGTTAAAGTCGATAAGGGCGAAAGTGATCAAGAAAACACTGCCAAAACAATAAATGCAAAACCCGATAAAGACGATAGTGAAGAGAAAAATGGCGCCGAACTCAAAGGAATAGCACCGAAAACTACAACAACACCGACAAAAGTATCGCGTAAGGATATCGAGGATAACGTGACCGATAGTAGCCACAGTGGTAATGTCAATGCTGCTTCGACCACAGTTGCCGCATCTGCTGCTGCCGCTACACTTGTGGAACAGTGCAAAAGCATACAAAAGAAACCTGCAGAGGTGCGCCTGTTTGAAGAGCATGAAAAACGCATCAAACTTTTGCTGACCATGGAGACCTATATTAAAAGCATACTAGTACTGATGCAACGTGACGAAAGTTGTACTTCTCCAACATCTGCAACTGTGAGTGGCGCTGCCGCAGATAGCGAAACTGGTGCAGACGGGCCAGAAATATCAAGTAAAAAGAGCACGAACGCTTCAGTTGCTGCCACGTCAATAATGTCGCCACCCGAAAGCATCGCTACCACATCTGATACACCGCCTGCCAAAAACGAAGACAAACTATTGCATTGCAGCGAAAAGAGTGACGTGAAAGGAGATGCCAGTAATAGTCACCAATCTCCAGCTAACACACATACCAGTACCACATCAACCAAGGATGATAACAATTCAGCAACAAATCCAAATACAATCGCTGCATCCCAACCAACTACAACGACGACACCAACACCCACGATATCGGCTGCCACTGCCGCGGCGCTACATTCTCAACAAATTTAGTTATCGTTTAATGATTTGCTAAATATTTTGTTTTTCGGTAAGATGCTGGAATAATGCCGCCACTAAGTTGAAAGTTGAGTGCAATGAAATGAAAGAGCATCCGCTACGTGAATTGGCGGTTGAATTTCGTTAACACATATACAAATACTCTAATTTAAATATTAAATATTTTTTTCCAATTCAAAGAATGCATTACGGATGTAAAGCGAGTGATGAAAGGCAGTTTGGCTTACCATTTGTATGTTGTAGCTTGTGAAAATATGTTTTTGTAAAAATGTTGGGTGGAATCGCTTTGGCTTATTAGAAAACAAAACTTAGTCAACGCTATAAAATTCGTAAATCATAGTACAAGCTCGGGCTAAATTTAATCTGTACTTAATAGGCTAAAAAATTGTGACTCAAATGAAAGCGTTTTCACAAGCTAAGACACACGCACATATAGTAGTATTATTATTATTTTTTTTTTTATAAGTGAACGTCATGTAGCGCAAGTGCTAATTCCTGCCGAGTAATACAAACTGTATACTCGAAAGTTTCGAATCCGCCCTCAAAATCTGGATTACGGGGCGGAAACTCGTTTTTCGTAGATCTCCCAATATGCTTGGTTATAATTTCAACAAATTAAAATCGATTTTAAATTGTTATATAAATATGTTGAAATTATAACCAAAAATAACTGTACGGCCCACGCAAAGCGGGTTTTCGCCCGCAAAGGTCGTTTGCTAAACTCTAATTAATCGGAAGTTGGTTCAAAAAATGTTTTCTGAATTTCTGATTAGTGCTCATTTGTCAATTACGATCTGATTAAGTTTACTGGAAGATGAATTTCCGATTAGGCGCCAGCCAGTACTGTTTTTATGCTTTTCGCACATTTGATGTTGCGAAACATGGGCACAAATTTTGTTTCAATCTGATTTTGGGTAATTTCAAATGAAATCAATGACTAAATAGAATTAGATATTGTGGTTTCCCCACTAACCCGACGTCTACTAATCGAAACTGGGTAAAAACTGACGTGCGTTTTTTAATCATACATACATTGAGCGAACGGCCCACAGTCCAGAGCCGCAAGGTATAGTTGAGATTTAAGGTATGGAGCTCTTTTTTTATTATTCGATAAGACTCACAACTTGTGTTACGTTTCACTGCTACACAGTGTTATTACTCTTCGTCACTCGCGTTACATTTACCAATGAATTTTCCCTGCAAAAATTGTTGGACTTTTTGAAAGTCCATACCTTACCATTAAACTTAATTCATTCATTTCTATTAACACGTTTAGAAGACCTTTTCAAATGTCTATTAAAAAAAAATCAAAATATGATTAATTTAGGTAGAACGAAATAATATATAAAGTTTAGTTTACGCACTCTTGCGCTCTTTGCTTCACTATTTTACCGCACCTACTTAGCGAATGCTGTTTTTAACATTCTTTTGTCATTAAAAGTAGTCCAACACATTATTTTCATTGGTTTATTTTGGTTTATGTAACGAGTACTAACAACGTATTACAATATACATATAAATATATTAAACAAATAAAAAATATATGATGCTATTAGAATTTCTGACCCAAGGTCAAAAATGCGTGTGAGGAAAAAAAACTGAAGCTAACCCAAGGTTGGCCGTGTGAAAATAATAAAGAAAAAATTAAATTTTTTATAGGAAACAGGTAAACTACCAGTAATTGCATAAACTCCGATTTGAGGCCAGCGAGAGACGAAGTCATTCCCTGACAATGATATTGAAGCCAAGAGAAAATCGATAACTCGAAAATTAAGTTTTATTATCATAGTTCCTATTTTTCAAATTTTGACTTTATCTAACCCAAAAACTACCAGATACTGATGTGTTTTGAAAAAAATTTCCCAACTTAAAATTCTTCTTTTCATTGTAATAATTTTATTGAATTAACTTTATCGCTGCTAGTCTCAAACTGGAGGTTTTGCAAATATGTACTACTTAATCGAGTAGACTAAACGGCGACGAAAACATAACAAATCAATAATTGAATGAATATTATTTTGTATGTTTTAAGTAAATATGTAGGTTAAACTTGACTGCGAAGAGGCGAGAGCGTTAGCCACACGACTATCATGCTTAAGCAAAATAAATTTGAATAAAGAAAAACGGGAAACACTAAAATGAATGGTATTTCACTAGACAGAGAAATATACATACTTTCGCGTATACATATGTACATGTTTAGATGGCAGAAAAACAAGCCTGAGCGCTTAACAAATGTTTTTTTTTTGTTTGTTTAATGTACCAATGTTAATATGCTTACATGCACACACATACCTACATGAATGCTTACGATGTATCAATGCACCTTTAGTTATGTATACTTATGTACATACGTATGTATGGTTGCACACACGGTGTTTTAGATAGAAGCAGCATGAATTAATATTAAGGCTTTTATACATAATAAGCATACGAAATCATTGAAATTTATGTATGTATAAGTGATCAAATACTAAATACTTTCGCTAATTGGCGAGCACATCAAAGATTAATACCACTCTGCAAACGTTTAAATGAGGATACCATTCTTTTGTATTCAATAAAAGGTTTAATTTATTTTAAAGTTTTCTTCTACTGCGACCACTACTGGCAAATACATTGTGCGATTTTTAAAAGTATCCGCTTTCAAATTAGATCTGTTTTGACATTTATGTAATCACAATGCACGTCGTTTTGAAACAAAAAAGAATTAAAAAAAAGTTATATCCTTAATCTGGACTGTGTAGTTATATATGTATTTATATGTACATGCCTTTCAATTTGAATAGGCACAGTGGTTTTCTTAAAGAACAACCGAGCTTATGTGTTTCTTATGTTAAGAAAGTAACATTTTTCGATAGAAAGAAGAAACCAACATTAACTTGTAGGCAACGGAAAAGCTTCGTTTTTAGTTCCACAATACTGCAAGGCATCTTAGATCGTCGCTAATGTTTAACATACCAATTAAGCCTGTGTCGATACCTGAATACTTCGGCCTGAACAGACTGAATAAATTTTTATCTGAAATATTAAAAATAAATCAGGTGACGAAAATTCTGCTTCCCTTTTGCTTCTCTTTCACGTTTTTTAGAGATTGTTAGGGGTTTCACATTTTTTTTCAAACCGATTTCCCACCAAAATTGCAGATTTGGAGTTAACTGTTCTGACAAATTTCAATTTAATTTCGAAACCAGAACGGGTCTTGTTCTGGCCTGTTCCGCTTGGCGTTGTCACTTGAAAGCGAAATAAAAACGACGATTTGGCATCACCGTTGCTAACATCGGCATTTATCCAATAAATACCGGTAGATAGTTCCGACATAAAAACATTACATATTTATCTGTCGTCCTCATTGTTTGGAACTAAATTTAAAGGACTACCGATAACTTCTCTTTGCTGTCTTAATACATTTCAACAATGAAAGCGACGATGAGAAGGACAACGACGTAGAAACGACAATGACAATGTCAATATACCAGATTATTATCGATTACCAATTACTGAAATACCGAGTATTTTTTGCTTTTTATTTCTTTACCCCTGAAATATTTTGCGCAGAAATACTAAGTATTTTTTTTTTTTGAAAGGCTGCGATTTTTTCGTTTTTTGAGATTTCCGCGAATTTCATAGGTCCTTTTTCGGAACATATCGGGATTTTTTGGATTTTTTCGGAGGGTTTTAAATATTACACATTACACCGTGCGACACACTGTGGGCCAAATATAGTAAAACTGCGTTATTAGTTTTTCTTTCTGAAGTCAGGATTTTTCTTAAAAAGACTTTGTAGTCTTAAAGATATGAGTAGGTAATTTATTTTTTTTTTTTGTTTGACTTCAGTGCAATGTAGAATAGTAACATGGGTACCACATGGAAGAGAATAAATTTTTTTTTTCACAAGGGCGAATAGGTTATTGAAAATGCTCTTTTAATTACTTTTATTTTATTTTAAGCCAGTAAAGTTAGAAGGACGAAATTCGTGGATGTGGTCGAGTTTATATAAGTCCTTAACATATATATATATATATATAGATATTTTTTAGTTTAAATAATGATTCCAAAATTTCTAGGATAAAATTTTAAAAGAACATTTTCAATAACACCAACAAATTTAATCTTCTTTAATTTTACAGAATTCCCTTTTTAATTTGATACCCATATCTACTGTTTTTCTACATTGCACTGAATTTTTGTAAACATTTTTTGGAGTAATTATATTTTTTAAATTCAAAGTGTGTTTAAAATATCCAGACGTCAGAGAGAAAAACTAAAAACGCAGTTTTACTATATTTGGTTATTTTTTTGTGTGTCAAATTGATTGTCGCACGGTGTTGTATTTAAATTTTAACTTTGCTTTTTACAAGTACCTAAAACGAAACGGTCTTGGTTTCAATTTTTATGCAAAGTCGGATTTACAATATAACTAATATTGCCTCACCTGCAAGTGCACCTTATTGGCTCAAATTTGCAGCTATTACAATTACTCAAATTATATAGCGCCGTTTTTTGTATTGTGTTTTTTTGTTTTTAAGACGCAAAAGATATTTTCGCCTTTTTCGTCACTTCATCAAAATCGACCATTCTTCCAAATGAAACCCAATGAAGCTTCCTCGATGCCTACAAATATAAATACAAGTTCTGGTTTTTACGAAAATCACTATTCCTTTTCAATCGAAGCTTGTTTTCCAAGATAGCGTTTGGGGCACCTTCCTCTTGGAAAGAGGTGCTGGTACCAAATATTCGTTTCTATTTATAAATTTAGAGGATGCTCATGATGCTCATATTTTACTCTAGAAGTATTGTGTACATGCATTAATCAAGCAATTGTTTAAACTACTTAAGAACACTTAAAATTTAAATTATTTAAAAGAAAATTGCAAAAGCTTCAGTTGTTATGGCAACAATAGCTTTTTATAAAAATCACCAATATTTTTGCCAGTTTCACAGTGATCTAGTAGCGCAATTTCAATGTCATTGAGCACCCTGTATTGGTTGCAGTAAAAAAACTGAAAGTTGGTATAGATATTACAAATATCAAAAGGAAAAAACTAAGGAAGTGCCCCGTTTTCTAGGATGGCATTTTTTCCCCATACAAAAATTGGACCACTTTACTATACATACATACATCATAAGAAGTAAAAAACCTTTTCAATTGATATGTATTAAAAAATAAAATGAAAAAAACTGAAATCGTTTTTTTAAGACTAAGTTCATACATTATCTTTTCGAAACCAACTTTTCGTTTGCGTCCAAAATTAGTTTCTACCCAGTGCACAATAGTGCACTAGGGCTATGCTAATTTTGTTCAAATAACGATTTTGTACTTTAAGTTACTAAAATGTCTAAACACCATGAAGAAGAAGCTACCGCACAATGGATCCCAATTGAAAGAGAGCGTATAGAACATGTAAATGTTAAGTAATCCTAGATGTGGATTTTAATAAAAAATATAACAAAAAATTTTAAATTCGAACTACAAATATACTTGCATACATACATAAAAACATATGCATGAAAATATATTGCTTGGTATAAAAAAATGGAAACTCTAATAAAATGTAATATAAAAATCGCAAAACGAAAAAGTTTAAATGCGTCAAAGAAACGTACTTTGCTATTTGTGGTTTTTGGACGTTAAAAATTAACTATATTTTTATTTTTTAATAATGTAAATACATTATAAATTATTGCTTCATATTTTTATTTTTTATTTATGGTATATTTTTGTTAGATTTTGCAGATATCTGCTTCTAAATATCACCCTTCTCCTCTTAGCTATTAAATGTTCAATATTGATCCAAGTTATATTTTTATTTACCACAACTCACAAATCTGTCTACATCCAGGCGCATGCTTTGAAATGTGTGCAAACGATATTTTAAATTTACGGAATGAGAAATGGCAGATAATAGGCAAAAATATATAAATAATAATTACGAAAATAAAAAAATATATAAAATAACGAATATGTAATGGGAAAGTGTAGAAAAAGTGTAGTAGCAAAACGGAATTAGCTTGAGAAAAAATTTCATAGTGGCGCCGCTGCGTGTAGTAGTATAGGGTATTCTAACTAATTGTAATTATGAATTAAAAAAAAAAAATACAAAAAATACGTTTCACATTTGATAATTGTACGTAACAAAAATTTACAAAAAACCGTCAACTTCAAGAACCAATTAATTGCTAGAGAAAAAAAAAACAAAAATAAAATAATGAAGATTAAAAAAATCGAATGAGTATCAATCAAATTGTATGAATTCATTGGCACAGCATAACTTCAACTAAAATTACACACTTATATATAATTACATAATATTATATACAATATATACTTGAACACAAGCGTAAGTTTATTCATATGAACTTATAATCATAATGACTATTAAAGTAACATGAAAAGTTAATAAAAAAAAGTCATTGCATTGCATTTTTAATCACAAATAAATTAATTATTGATTGGTAAGATAAGATACGTAATTTAAATCGAACGCCGCTGTGGTGTAGTGGTAAGCAGTGCGCGCCTCCACTCTACAGGGCCTGGGTTTAAGCCCTGGTCAAAGCAACATCGCAAAAAAAATATAGAAAAAAGTTATTTTCTTGGCAGCGGTCGCTCCTCAGCAGGCAACCTCCGAGTGCATTTCTGCCATGAAAAATAGATTCTCATAAAAATACAATCGACGTCCGGAGTCGGCGCTAAACTGTAGGTCCCTCCCCTTTGTGTGACAACATCAAACACTAACATATGTATGTGTTGACGCCATTCTTTTATTATTATTTTATGTTTAGATTCAAAATCAATGAAAAAAATTCACAATACATACAGGCATTTGTGTATTTGTTTATCGAAATGTGGCTCATTATCTAACAAAAACCATAAGCCGAAATTTCAAACTTTGTAGAAAAATTTACAACAACAATGCAGCTTTATAGCTCATTGCTAGATAAAAGCCAAGTTTCAAGAGGCTAAGTTGATTTTTGATAATTTGTTTTCATTTTCTTCCATATTAAATTATAATAAAAATTTTTTATATGGAATATTCCATATTTCCATGGATACAGATGCATAAATAACACCATCAGTAAACAAAAAAAACATATCAAAAATCAATGCGAACTCTCAGCTACTTGAAACTTTGCACTAAGAATTTAATGGTATGTAAAACTGCATACTTAGAATATTTATAATAATTCTAAATAAAAAGTTTGTTGTAAAATTTTGTTGAATTTTCTAAGTTTTCTAAACAGTTTGAAATTTAGACTTGTATTTTTTTGTTACACTATATGAGATTCCTTTTTTTTTAATAATAAACATTGAAAAAACATAAGAAAATAAGCAAAACTGTCGTGTCCCTAGATATTATTTTTCGCATGTCATTAGGGTGGTCCAAAAAAAAACTAAGGGATAAAAATTATAAAATGTTAAGCTATCACCCCTTGGGATTTTTCTAAATAGAAAAAATAATACCCGTCTTTTTTTTGGGAAAATAAATGATATTTAGAACTGCCTCAAAGCCCATGAAATGTTATTGTTAAGAGATTGTTGTAACTATTAACTTGGAGTAAATTGGCGTCCTCAGTTATTGAAATATCGGAGTTTTCGTATTTATGAAATTCACCGTTATACGGGAAGCGAGTGTAATTTCAGTCAGATTGAATAATTTTCAACGAATTGATTTTCCGCACCAAGGTTTTTAAGTGCGCCGAGTTTGGTAGAAATTGATCAATCGTTTACCGAGATGCACATTCGTGGTCAGAACGGGGCGGCGCACAGTGTTTCGACTATGTGGAGGCAGATGGAAATAATAGTACACCTGCACCGATTTCACTGAAACATGACATGTATGGAATAATTGCCACGCCCTCTACTCTTGTGGGCAGAAACATTAAATCTCATCCGATTTCGATGAAATTTAGTTCGTAGTCTTTATTTTATTAGAAAAACCTAAATATAAAATATGGGGACGATTGGATTACTATAACGTTCAAAACTCACAAAAAATGTGGGCCCAGTCATTAAATGTGATAAAATTTTGGGTAATTTTTGTTTCCTGCTTTCCACTCTCAGAAAACAAAGGTTATACAATAAAATGACTTAGGTGTCAATACTCGCTTTTTCCCAATATCTGGTGGGATTTTTTCATTGTTTGAAAAATATTCTTTTTGCTAAATTATGCAAAAAGAAGCTGAAAATCAAAAATTAAGAAAATCAAAAATTACATATATTTGCAAAGTCGCGCGCAAAGATCAAATTATATATTCGAAAACTACATAAAATTCTCTAAAACATTAGTCTAATTTCAAGACCTGACGGACCGGTACTCACACTTTTTTTTACTAATAATCTTTAGCATCTATATATCAAAGTAAATTTTTTGGTAAGAAAATAGGAAAATACCAAATAAATGATAAATACCTTCACCTGAATATTCCACGACATTTAGATAATTAATTACAATTGAAAAAGAAACACTTTCTGTAATGGGTTCAGCGCCAAATGCAACTAAACTGATTGGTCGGTATCGCGCCCATTCCCGTATTTTTTTGGAAATGTATCGTTCGTGAAAAAGGGGGGTGAGTAAATAATGTAAAATTTGTTACTTATGACTTCTACTATTCCCTCTCTAAGTCAAACCGTTTTTTTTTTTTACCAACTGTCACCATGACTTTTCTACCTGCCTCCATATAGTCGAAACACTGTGCAGCACCACGCCTATTATCCAAAAATGTATAATCTAATTTTCTGCTAAGTGGTTAATGCAATAATCGATTTTAAGCGAATAAGCTTCAGTAGTTACTGATTTATCGGAGTTTTCG